TTTGGGGATAAATAAAACCTTTTGTACATGTAATTATTGTATATTTATTTTAAAAAAAAATCTTTAATAAATGCTGCCCGAACAGAATTTCCTCTAACAGAGTTATTTACTAATTGTGTGGCTGGTACATTTTCATCATCTCCTTATACTACATCCTCAAGCAGATCTTGTTTTTGCATTGCAATGTATATAGTTTTGTATGCTCTTATTTAGTATTTAGTCCTCGCAGTAAACACCGAAACCTTTGCTTCCCTCCAAAGCATTGTTCTACAGTGTTACGGGCCCAGATGTGCGACCGGTTGTACATTCCTTCCTTTTGTTTATTATGACGCAGGATAGGAGTGATTAAATAAGGATTACAAGCATAACCAGAATTTCCGAGAAGTCCGCCTTTAAATTCTGACTGCTTAAACGTTTTAATGCGACTTTCATTAAATATTCTTGAGTCATGTGTGCTGCCTTGCCAATGTGCCACTATATCCTTGATCTCTAAATTTGCATTTGACACAACCTGGAACAAAGCACTCATAACTTCTTTTATATGAAATAATAGATTAAGGTGATTGTATTGAATCTAAGAAAATAACTAAGTACCTATATGGCAAAGATGGGCTAGCTAGGTGCCATAAAACTTACTTGTATATTTATTTAACTGTATCCTTTCCAGTTTATGTAGTATTGTCCGATGTTTCCAGCGACTTTCGGGATTCGAATATGTGGCAATCAATAGCCCCAATCACTTGTCTAAATCCACATAATAAATAAAAACCTGCAATCACTTTGTTCTGCTCCACATCACTTCTTGGCATTTTAATCCATTATGCTGTTTTTGTTACTAGTGCTTATGAATTTAACACGGGTAACAACGCGTGTAAACGTAAAGTTTAACAAAATGTCAAAATACGCGACTAGTCTATGCTTACTCAGTCGTTAAACTAGGTACCGCCAAGGATTAACTTTTATTCCGAGAGTAGATTCGAATTAGTTTACTCCCTCCTTACTCTATGTTTATTAATACTGAAATTAGATATTTTAAGCTTTAAACTAGGAGTAAAGTTAATCTTGCTCAAGTCTATGTTTATTAATAGGGCTGTACGTCTTTAATGTATAGTGATTTCGTTCGCAATGTCAAAGCCTACAAAAAATAGGAATAGACTTATTATTATTCGAACGAACAAGTAAATTGTTTTCTAAAACAAGTAATGATGATTATTATATAACATTTTAAGTATTCGTTTCGCAAACTTTAATAACTAATAATTAGGGAGGTATCAAAACTAAGTCTTGACGAACACAAGGTACATGAGCGAGTTGAATCCCATTTGTAATCCCAATTTTATACCCTGAATAACAACCCGCCCCGGCTTTGCACGACTGTTTCCTAGATCTCGACAATAATGCCATTTACCGGGTACAATTGTAAGTGTGAATATTCATCGAAATCTGTCCAGCCTTTCTTAAGTGGTGATCTTTCATACATGCGTTAATTGGTTTTTCATTTGTATAGATGACCCCTTGCTTAGCGAAAAATATTAATATAATCATTGTTGAATATAATCGATTATGTTCAACAAAGCTTTATCTGCATGGATGAAAATATTTCTAAATCATGAAGGTAAGGCAGGATCTTGATAATGATCTCAGAAGTTCTAAGACCCCATACTATCCCGTAAGTATCGTAAAGGACGACAGAAAAATGAAACGTGAGATAGGCAACAGTATCTTCGTAATAACAATTAAAAATAATAAATAAATACGGTTGTCAAAGCACTTGCAAAGGTTAGGGGACTTTTGATTGGCTATATGTAATTAATGAATGATGGATAATATCCCGAGGGAGCAGAAAGAAAACGGGTAATACGTTCATAATCGATTTATTGATAGTTGCGATCTAGCGACAAAAGAGAAGGCAGACCGCGGTCGTGCCACTTTTATATCACTATACTAATGTACGTGGTAAAGCCACGCTGCAACTTTAACAGTTATAGCAAGGGTTGACTCGACCGGGGTAGGACCACGCTCTCACAGAATTCCAGCGTAAAATAGCAGCTTAAGGCTGTTGTGTTGAGTGTAGAGAACCGGTGACCCTTTTCTAAAGAAACCGAAGCATTCCATCTTAGTCCTTGACAACGCATCTGAATTTTATTTTTGATCTAGGATAGATGTAGATGTCCACGGGCTCAGCATCCATTTACTGTGTGCTCGTTTGATACCCTTCACAACCATTGACAACATTAAATTACTTAGGTTTCCGAAACCCGCAATAAGGTATATTTTGCGGTACGTATACAATATACATATACACTATTTAATAAGTTCTAACCTTAAAGTAAATCTCTTGTCCAACTTATTGTTTCTCTTTAACTATTTAAAAACAAATTATTGGTTTGTAAAACATTGGACCTACTTTGATAATATTTGTATTTAATAATTATATCTTTTGTTTTCAGCTGTAAATTGTGGGCGAAATATTATTCCTTCCCAAGTGCAGTATACTACTTTAGCTTTCCAGACAAAGCTACATAATAAGCCCAGAATGATGTGTGAAAAACATTTTCATGATGGTTAATTTAATGAAACAACCAAGAAAAAGCTCTTGAGAACTGCAGTCCCATGTGATGTGTAAGTAAAGTGTATATATAATGTATATGGTATTATGGTATGGATATAGTTTTCTTTAAGGATTACTCAGATATTTTATATGGGGATTACTATATTCAGGAGTGGACATTGATAGACTGTAATGAAGATGATGATCATTATTCATATGACCATCATCTGGATCTATCATGGATGGACAGACCACATACAGTAGTTTGAATCCTGTTAATGCTTTCAACTAATTTATAATAATTGGATCGGACAAAGCATCCAAATGATTGAAGTTAGCACAAGCCCTTCCTTACATTATTAAAAGTGCAACACACTGCATATTATTTTTAACAATCATTTTTTTTTAAAGAACAACAACTTTGGTTCTCAAACAATAGATAAACACTAGACTTCTTTTCACATAGTTATTGTATTTACTATCTTATTTTGTTATATTAATTGTAATAGTGGGTGTATTATAGAGCAAGTTGGATGAACAAGATCCATTCATTTACTATGTATTGGTAGAAGGGTAATGTAGTGCCATGAGCTGGGACTAGTTTATAATGAAAGTAATGTCAATGAATATAATGTTAATTTAATTTTATATAATAATTTTATGATACTATAATTTATTTCAGTTTTTATTTATTTCCAGACTAACAAAGTGTATTCCCATTTTAATTTGTGGAATCACAAGCTGGTCCCTCGCAAATTATTGCTGCAAAACCACAAGCAGGATCTTCAAAAGCGATAACATTATATCCACTGAAGAACAATCACAAACATCAAAGCATAACAGATAATGTTGAACCTAAAAAAGAAAGTACTCTATATGAATTTTTTTTTAAATGAAATAAGGAATATTTTTGTAATCTAATATTTAATATGTTTTATAATTTTGAACTAAAATTATTCTATTTATAAGCTGCATTCAACACTTTTTATATTGCATATAATATAGAGATAAAAATTTTAGTGTCAATTCAGGGAAAACCAAATATTATCAAAACAAAATTATTATTTGTGAATGTTGCACTTTGCACCTGTGTGTAGGAGCTTATTTATTAATTAACTTGTTTTTGATTAAAATATTGATACTTTGGTTATTGTAGACATTCTATGATTTGTGATTGTGCATATTATCAATTCATCCATGATTGTAAATCTTATATATATTGTTTATCATTGTTTACTTAAGTAATTGAAATGTTGTAATCAATATTGATTTTCTTTTCATGTTTAAACCCATCAAATGTATTTATAGAAAGAACTAAGCTGCTGGAGAAATTTTGTCTTAAGTTATGTATGTTTATTTATTTTAATTTGTATTTTTATTTTGAATAAATAAATAGAAATTTTGTATTTGTTCTTTTATTTAGCGCTGGGATAGGCAACCCAAAAATACCTCAAATAAAAAAACCAAAAAAGACCACGTTCAAATTTTCCCGACACACGAGAAGTGCAGGAGGCTGACGATAGATAGAGCTAGTGGTTATATATCGCATTTCCTAAATTTTGTATGAAGTTATCGTTCTTCTCCGATAGGACTAATAGTGTTCTGTGATAGTGATCCTTAATAGACTGACGTTTCCCATGTCCATATGTTTATTTCTTAGAGTAATTACATACATTTAAAACAATTTTATAATAGTTATCACCATCTTGAGGAAGAGCTTTTAATGCCGATTTAAAACTGCATACATGCGAATTAACCTGATGCAACATGTTCTGAAGTTGTGAAATAAGTTCAGTATTTAAATTCGGGAAATATTGATTTCTTATATTCGACTGTTCGTTGTAGTCGGGTACAAAATATATTTGAAGAAACTTAGGTTGGTCTTCAGGCAAAAGTGATCCTATCAAATGGTAAACCTGACCTTATATCTTAAAAGTAGGCATGAATGAAAGGATCTTCTGAGATTAACAAATCAATCGTTTTAAATGACATCATCAACAGATGATGTCATTTAAAACGCACTATTATAAGTGCGAATATTGTCTAAGAACTGTTTAGATTGCACATGTTCCCCTAAAAGTAGCGACTTCAAAGGTTCCGGTGGATCTTCGAACGAAGGAAAATTTATTTTACATCCAGAACAACAGAAACCAAATCGACTCCTTACTCCACTTTGAAGTATTACAAAAAGAACATACTACTTTCATATCACCTATTACAGAAGATGATCTGTAATCAAATGTGAGGTTATAAGCAAACCCACTTTTATATTTGTCGGACCACGCCACCGAATTTGTAGATTGATCTTCTATGTGTACATCTAAGTCATTAAGACTATGTCGAAATCTGTCTGCAGTAAGACGGGCCTCTCGCTGTTCGTCCGTTTCAAGAGACCGAATATTTTCAATTCTTAATCTTTCATTAGACAAACTTATTAATCGTTATTGTCTCAAAGAATTGTAATATTCGCGTCCCGCTCTAGTCGTTGTTCATGCTCATGTTCATCTTCAAGAGATCGAATAATATTATGGTGCACCCTATCATTTGTCAAACGGTCTTCATATTGAGTAAAAGTTTCAGATTCTCGAGATAAAATATGACGTTCGCGATCAGCTGTGAGACGTAATTCCCTCTCAGTGTAGGTTTCGGACTCGCGAGATAATGTATGCCGTTCGCGGTCAGCTGTGAGCCGCAATTCTCGTTGTGAAGCAGTTTCAGCTTCTCGGGATAACACATGTTCTCGGTCAATGGTAAGCCTTAGCTTTCGTTGAGAAGAACTTTGAGACGCCCGTGATGTAGCTCGTCTCGCTCTGTCAGCTGCTAATCGCATTTCTCTTTCTGGAGAGCTTTCATTGGCTCGAAAAGTTGAGGCAGCTTAACTCTCATAGAGTTTAACCGATGTACTCTTTCCTCTGCCGATTCTTGAGAACGCACATTTCTCATTCTCTTAGCTTCTCTCGAATTTCGAGATAAAGATAATCGTTTTTTAGGTGGCATTGTGTATTTTATTTTTAATCGACGGCGGTCCTAACTATAGCTACCATACACTTAAAAAAATCTAAATGCCTACTTAAATAATAAAACGGATCCTAAATAAATCCTTAAATCCAAAATTAAATTCTTAAAAATATATAAGTAGGTACCTAAACTACGTCTAATAGAATGAAATAACCTATTTGATACCTAGGTACCTATTTAAAACTACAACTAAAGAAAAAAAAGTTTAATTTATAATTAAGTTAAGCTAAGAAATATTTAAACACTACTAATACAACTAATACCTATTTTATAAAATAACAACCAAAGAAATCTAAAAATAAATTATTAAACGTAAGAGTAGACTAAAAGTCGCGCTGATAAGCACGGTTTGTTAAAATCAATTATTGTATGTCAATAAAGGTCGAACACTCTGAACGTCTATTCGCATCAACAGCCAAATATTGTATGAAGTTCGCACTTTTTTTTGCGCCCAAAGCAATATGGGCAACCCTCCGGAAAGTGGGGGAGGGAGGCGGTGAATGCTCATAGCATACCACGCAGCCGGCTGCGTGGTTATGTGGAGACTTTTACCCACTAAACACCGCCTTTAGGGACTGGCTTAACAATCTAGCTAGAGATCTTTAAGCCGTATCGAACGCGACCCCCCTTGGGTGAAAGGGTGAACCCCTTAGCGGCGAGTAGCCGCTGGGAAGAATTGCTGCCGAATTAAGGCAGCTTACTAATGGGATGACTAATTATATTGAGTTTAGAAGGTGTTGGTGCTCGGTAAGCGCGAGCAGACGGTCCTGAGGGGACTGAGAATCGCGCAGTTTGCGTGCTAAAATTGCGATCTCTCTTACGTCGATATTGAGGATAGCAGTGTACACTGTATCTACGTTATCGGCGTAAGAGGGTTCCGCCTGATGTCGGGGCCCTAGTCGGCAAAGGTGACGAGGCCTGTAGGGTTCCTGAGGGGGCCGATATAGGTCCTGAGGTGACTGAGAGTTGTCCTGAAGGGGCATTTTGGATGGGAAAGCCGTGAATGTACGGTCATTGACCGGTGGCGGAGCTTTTTTGGCAGCTTTGTTGCCGAGATTGGGGCGAGGCGCGCAAAGGCAGCCTCTGATGTTGGCCGTATGGCCAGTCTGTCCGCAAAGGACGCAAGCGGGTAGGTACTCGGTATCATGGGGCCGAAGACACTCTTTCGAGCTATGCGGGTCTAGGCACTTAACGCACCTGGGAGGGGCTGAGCAGTTGGCCGCCGCATGCCCGTAGAGTTGGCAGCGGTGGCACTGCGCCGGAAAAACGCACCTATAGGGGGCTTCGACTTTGACTCTCGATAGGCCGCACACAGTGTTCACTTGTCGGAATATGTCTTTCGCCTCCGGCACGTTGGACAAAATGAGGAGGGCAAGCGAGTACCTCTTGCCCTTACTGCTGTGCATCTTGTGCACAGCCTCAACTGGGAGTCCCTGGGACTTAAGGTCCTCCAGGATTTCCTCGTTGGCGAGTTCAAAGGGAACTCCGCGGAGGACAGCCCTGACTTTACGTGCTTCGGGAAGAGAGTAGGTGTGATATGGCACACCTTCGGATGTGAAGAGTTTGGTGATGTTTCTAAAGTCTTCCATAGACTGCGGAACGATTTTAATTGACTCACCAAGGTTGGTGGCTTGGTCATATTTAAAGCCTGCGTCGTAACAGACTTTAGAAAGTCTAGTAAATTGCGCCTTGTCCCTGAGGAAGACAGGGGGCGGGACCTGTTTCTTTGTGGCAGCGACGAGGGCTGCAGTGAAGCAAGCAGGCGTGGGGGGGGGGAGAACGGGGGACGGTTTGCGGGGAAGGATTTTTTTTTTTGCGGAGCAATTGGGCACTCGGGCGGGGGGGGCCGGTGGGGGGATTTTTGCGGTGCAGAGATCTCTAAGCCGTATACGAACGCGACCCTCCTTGGCAGAAAGGAGGGCGCTAGCGGCGAAAAGCCGCTTAGAAGTGTGCCTAACTAAGGCAGATTAAGGGATGTGTTATGTAGGCTCGGTCTGAGCCGCCAGGAGGCAGTTCAGGTCAGCCGAAAGCTTGTTGGGGGGGGTCCGAGAGAGAGTTTCTCGGTCTGCGCACACTATAGCGAGTGTGGATAGGGGTTGCATAGGCAGCTGTCTCACGAATGAGATGATTTGGGTGGGATTCTGAGGCTTTGAAAAATCTCTCAGAGAGTGATTTAAGGAACTGCTGGATTGTTGGGAGCTCTAAGTCTCGGTGTAGGTCGGCATTACGGACATAATAGGGCGAGTTAGTGGCCCTACGACAGAATAGATTTTGAACTATTTGAAGTTCATTCATAACTTTTGGCTTAGCATGTGCGAAAATGGGGGAGCTCGCGCTCAGATCCCCCGCCTTTTTTTTGCCGCACTCGACGCGGCACCTCCCGCGCGAGCCGCGTCGAGCGCGGCGACCGTTACACAAAAATAATCCTTATAGCATGATTCAGTATTCACGCGCGATGGCTTATTAGCCTATTTCATGTATAACTTTGGTATTTCTATACCGATTTCTATGATTATTTTTTATTGAATAGATAATAATGTAAACTTTTTTTAATTAGGGATGAGTTAGAGTATTATAAACGTAAGAGTAGACAAATATAATCAGAAAGCTCTGAACTGCTAAGCTATCGGGAGTTACACGTGTTATTATGAGTCAACCATAAAAGATAGACATATGCTGTCGTGGGATATTTTTATATAATTATAAGGAAAACATTTCCGTTATACATGATTTCTGTGTAGCTTTAACCATTAAGGCTGCACACGCGACGGAAGCTTAAAAAATGGAGTAATTTCTCCCGTTTCCCCAACATTTCCCTTCACTGTTCTGCTCCTATAGATCGTAGCGTGATGAAAAGTACACTATAACCTGCCCAGGAGTATGAAGAATGATTGTACCAAGCTTCGTTAAAATCCGTCGAGTAGTTTTTGTTTCTATAACGAACATACAGACAGACAGACAAATTTTTTTACTGTTTGCATTTTTGGCATCAGTATCGATCACTAATCACCCCCTGATAGTTATTTTGGAAATATATTTCATGTACAGAACTGACCTCTCTACAGATTTATTATAAGTATAGATTATCTTTAGCTCTCTGTTTTGCTGAATTAGCTTTGAACTTAATTTACTGAATTTAATTATACTTCACGTGACTTAGCTTTGTAAGCAGCCTTAACATACGTCTCCTAAAAAAATTGGGTAACATCGGGAACCGGTAGATTCAGGCAAGTGATCATTAAAGCGGATATAGATGTTTCATAAAAATGGACTGGGAAATAAACTTCGCTCGAGCTGTTATTTGTACTTCGTTTGTAATTCGACCTTACACACTTAGTACACTTGTGACAGTAAAAATATAACCAGACTAAATTTGGAAGTCATTTTCGTAAACCCAATCGACCATCAGCACTGCAAATGTTCATTTCACATTGGGAGTATTATTCGGATATATTTGATTTTGTGATATATTTTTTCATTCATAACAGCCTACCAAGATTTATTGGTACACACTGGTCTCCCCCATAGAATACTATAATACACAATAGAATGGCTGTCAACCTTATTTTGTACGAGGATCGGCGTCGCCGGGAGCACACATACAAGCAATTATGTCGTATTATCACTACTACAAACCCGATTCGCTGCGTTGACAGATTGAGTAAATTTACACATTTTAAACTTTTGATTAATGTTCAAGATCCTCATTAAAAGAATCGTTTAAATTTTATACATATTTATTTGTAAATAATGTGTTATTTGGCATTTTCTAAATAAGTTGCATGCGAAATTTGGAAATGATTGTAACGCCAAAACACGCTTGGCAGGCGGCTTGACAACCGCAGATTTGTTTACTTTATCTTGTTGCTATTAGGACGACGCTGCTATCCATCTACCGGTTTGTTTTCATCAGTTGCCTCATAAGACAACCATTTATTTTATGATTCTTAAAAATATTTTGAACAAAACATAGGAATGACTCCAAAAGATTTGAATTTTATTTTTCATACGTTCTTATTTCTTGCCATTTCTAGTTCTAATGTTGAACAAAAGTATAAAAAGAATTTTCTGAAGATACGTAGCTCGTGTATTAAATTATATTGAACTCTAATAACTCAAAGATACTTGCTGCTTCCTTAGATTATTGATAAAATGCAAAAATTTAAGAATGGTTCTTAAATGTTAACAATGGTTACGTAACATTTTTACTGCTTTTATTTTGTGCTATATTTTTGATTACATTAATTCAATACAGACTATCAATGTCCACTGCTGAGTAAAGCCTTCCTCATAGATTGTCTCCTATTAGTTAGGGAGGTATTAAGCAGAAATAGGTTAGATCATAGAATACTATAATACATATATAATAGAACGGGGGACATTAATCAAAAGTCTAAAATGTGTAAATTTACTCAGTCTGTCCACATAGCGAATCGGGTTTGTAGTAGTAATAATACAACGTAATTGCTTGTATGTGTGCTCCCGGCGACGCCGATCCTCGTACAAAATAAGGTTGACAGCCATTCTATTGTGTATTATAGTATTATGTGAGTTAAAGGATAGTACCTACCCAGACGAATTCCTATGTAGAGCAAGTGTCCTACCACCTGGTATAATGGTGGGTACACGATTTTGTTACTTATTGTTATAACTTTAGGTTTCGATTTTGATTTTGCTTCAATCACCTTAATCAAACTCATTCTCAACTCTTTCTATTTGCGGTCACCTTAATAGATTAGACGGTAGTAAAAACAAAATAAAAAATAATGCAGTTTTGATTACACTTTAATTTCTATCGACATTAGAAAACTA